TACTTGATGAAATATTAATACTACTTACTATGTTTAAATTATGAATAGTTTTGCGACGATAGGTTATAGTAACGTATAGCCACAAAACTAATTTTGTGTTAAAGTAGATCCATGGAGAGCAATGTAATTTACAAAGGCCTTCTTTCAACATACAAATAAATGGCAACTTTATAATTAAAATGAAAAACACAAAAAAATACTTCGGTATCATAATTGATCCAAATTTGAAACGAGCATTATATCCTACTTCTCTTTTATATAATAAAAAAGTGCTTTGTATAAGAACAATTTATTATCTGTCTTGCTATACCTTTATTTATGGAAAGCCTGAATTGAGATATTTATTATTTGCACTAAGTATCAAAAGAAGTATACATTTTTAAATAATTTGACATTTAAGAGCCATTCACATATCATAGTTGACATCTTGATACTTGAAAGGCACAGCCAAGCATTATTTTGATTTTTGCCAAATAAAATGGTCGGTTAATTATTCTATGGGGTTGCGACAGAGAACCAGTAAATTTAATGAAGGTGTTTTTGTGGCTAGTTGCGAAATAGTAGTACGCTTAATAGCACCACCTTAAAAAAGTAATTATTAAGTAACTGCTTATATATTTTTCATAAATTGGCAGGCTTGGCGACTAATTTCGAATGAAAATAGCCTCCAAAATGGCTATAGGGTTGCAAGTAAAGGTTGCAACCTGCCTTAGATATTTCACCTTTACAATCAACAGCTGTTGTTTGACAGGTCGTTAGAGAATGTTTGCAATTTATGGAATGTAAAGAATGTTGGGAATTTAAATTCCTAAAATTGTCTCATAAGGAATGCATAGGCGGATTTTAAGAAAATTGTTATCAAAGTAGTTAGGATGAACCGAAAATTCTGAAAACCAATAGTTTAGTAAGTTAGAAGTTAGAAGTTAGAAGTTAGAAGTTAGAAGTTAGAAGTTAGAAGTTAGAAGTTGGAAGTTGGAAGTTGGAAGTTAGAAGTTAGAAGTTAGAAGTTAGAAGTTAGAAGTTAGAAGTTAGAAGTTAGAAGTTAGAAGTTAGAAGTTAGAAGTTAGAAGTTAGAAGTTAGAAGTTAGAAGTTAGAAGTTAGAAGTTAGAAGTTAGAAGTTAGAAGTTAGAAGTTAGAAGTTAGAAGTTAGAAGTTAGAAGTTAGAAGTTAGAAGTTAGAAGTTAGAAGTTAGAAGTTAGAAGTTAGAAGTTAGAAGTTAGAAGTTAGAAGTTAGAAGTTAGAAGTTAGAAGTTAGAAGTTAGAAGTTAGAAGTTAGAAGTTAGAAGTTAGAAGTTAGAAGTTAGAAGTTAGAAGTTAGAAGTTAGAAGTTAGAAGTTAGAAGTTAGAAGTTAGAAGTTAGAAGTTAGAAGTTAGAAGTTAGAAGTTAGAAGTTAGAAGTTAGAAGTTAGAAGTTAGAAGTTAGAAGTTAGAAGTTAGAAGTTAGAAGTTAGAAGTTAGAAGTTAGAAGTTAGAAGTTAGAAGTTAGAAGTTAGAAGTTAGAAGTTAGAAGTTAGAAGTTAGAAGTTAGAAGTTAGAAGTTAGAAGTTAGAAGTTAGAAGTTAGAAGTTAGAAGTTAGAAGTTAGAAGTTAGAAGTTAGAAGTTAGAAGTTAGAAGTTAGAAGTTAGAAGTTAGAAGTTAGAAGTTAGAAGTTAGAAGTTAGAAGTTAGAAGTTAGAAGTTAGAAGTTAGAAGTTAGAAGTTAGAAGTTAGAAGTTAGAAGTTAGAAGTTAGAATCTTGAGTTTTTCATCATATCTTAATTAGTTTATAAGTTGTATTCATTTAAAAGACAAAAACCAGGTGAGAATGGTAGAGTTACAGCTAAAGGTAATTATAAAATTCGATAAAAAATACAAATATATTTTTTAAATATTACATGGTTGTTTTTGTTTCATGTGGAAAAATAAAAACAAATATAAAAAAAATTAATTATAACATATAACAAATTATTTATTAAATAAACAATGAAAATTTAAATAAAAACAATTTTTTTAGTTATCAAAGAGTAAGATAAATTATGATTTAAAAAAGTGGATCCTTAATAATAATTACAGGTGATAAAAAAAATTATTAATTAACAAATACGTTTTAAGCAATAAAACTATTTTTATTTAAATCATAATTTGCATAAAAAAAATTAAATTATCTTATAAACAACGCATTTGTTTATAATAGTTTTTTAAACAATAGCAAATAAAAAATTTTCATATGGCTTCTAACGATAAAAAAAGGATCAATAATAAAAATAATAAAAAAATTTTTTTTAAATAATTAATCAAGCTTTTTATTTTTAACTTAAGTAAATTTATTTAACAATTATCGCACTTGCAATGTTCATGTTCAAGTAGGAAAAAATTGTTAATTAACTAATGCATAATAAATAGAAAAATCGCGATAAAATTTTTTGCAAGCCAGAGTATCCGTTTTCGGCAGTATTTTCAACCCTCTGGAAAATCATAAATATTCGTCCTACAGTTCCGGAGGTGGAAAACTCCCTCCTGTTTTTTAATCTTTTTTGAAATTTAGAAAATGTCAAATAGTTTTTGAGATATTTGCAAAAAACCAAAGCCTATTTTTTTTTTTTTTCAGTAAATTGTTTATAACTTTTGCAATTTTTGCAAGCGGCTCTTGAAGTTTTTCAAAAATCATCTACACGCTATTTCGAATCGAATGACACCTCCACCTCGTTCATATTTTTCGGAGGCGTAGAAAAAAGTTTGACCCAAAAAGCACTTATTACCTAGACTATACGTTCTGCAAATTAAATTACTGCACTCCTTTCTTCTCTAGACTATAATAATGTCACAGGGTTAATTCACTATCAAACACTGGTACTACAAATAATAAAAGTAGTTGCATGATATTATATTTTTCTGGGCTACCTAATATAACGTTTTTATGTTCACAATAAGTTTCATTATGAATAAAAATAAAAAGCAGATCGACCGGTCACGCCCAAATATAAATCAATTTAATTCTTTAAAATATTCGTTTAAGTCGACTGACGCGTCCGGATGATCTGACAAGATCCCGTTTATCTTTTTGTTAGAGTTTTAGAGTCAATTCGGATACCGATACAGATTCGATATCTACGCCAGAGCATAGAGAGTGAGATTGGATTCGGAATAGCTGTCCGTACGATTTATTTAGATTCATAATAAATTTCTTCGGAACATAAACTTTACAAGCATTACAAATTAAGGACTTTATAATCCTTCGAGCGGCTGATGCGATCTCGGCATTTTTAATTCTTTAATTCCAGTTTAAAAACCTACACTTATTAGCGATAATGTATTGATTAACGAAATAAATATGGCCCTACCTATTTTTTCTGTTCTTTTTTTTTTAAACTTATACAGGACAAGTCACGGGGATGTGTGCTTACTTCTACGATACAAACCCGAATTGATAAAGTTTTGCAATAATTATACATAGAGAGCAATGATGAAGTAGCCCTATAAGAGAATCCTACAGAAAATATCCTTGTTTAGATTTTAAAATAATGGTGTACTCATGGTACACACTGTCAATAAGTCAGAACATAGCCAAGAAAAAGAGAAATTGGCCAGGACTAAGGGGGAAGAATTCATCACTATTAAAGGACTCTTAGTTAAGGCTAAAACCACGGGACCAAACTTTTCCAGCCGTGATAAATGTATGGACAATTTTTCAAATGAAAATAAACACAATAATCACGTCTTTAAACAATGGGCAACCAAAAAATGAAAAAGATACCTACTTGATGGGTCTGATAAAAAGACATGACGTTTCAAAGCATCGTCCTATCCAAGCAGACTCAAAACAAATCCCTTCTTCTTTTACATAATTCTCTAAGCAAGGCAATATTCGTATTAAAGTATGCCGTAATGCATTCATTAGCTTGCATGCTATATCTAAAAAAGCATTGCCACTACTGACACATCTGCTGAATGCAAACGAATCACCAAGAGATGGTCGTGGTCGACATTCTAACAGAGCACGTGCAATACCAGTCTCTGTTACTAATGAAATACATAATCACATCAAATCATTTCCAACCCACATTTCTCATTATAGTTCTAAGCATATAACTTGCTTTGAAGCAGCGTTGACAACGACGAAAATGCATAACCTATTCTTGGAAAAATTCCCTCCATACAAAACAGTGGTGAAATATGAATACTACCTCAAATATTTAAAAGAAAATTTTACTACAAATTTGGCCGACCACAGGTAGATGTTTGTTCTACCTGTGAAGAGTTAAATACCAAGATCAAAACAACTTTTTAAATGATGGCGCAGAACGTGTCGCTGCTGCTGAACTCAAGGTGTATTTGACTATATGCAAAATTTGCCTCTGCCTTTTATGCCTGTGAAGGAGATGTTTTACCTGAGTAAACTATGGTATTATGTGTTCAATATTCAAGACTTCAAAACTGGAACGTCTATATTTTATAACTATCCGGAAGGAGAATGAAAGAACGAACCTAAACGAAGTTTGCACTTTTGTACTAGATTTACTTGAAAAGTCTGTTCCAAAGGAAGTAGACATTCTTCATGTTTTTTGTGATGCGTGCGGTGGGCAAAACCACAACCACAATCTTATGAGATTGTTGCTTACTCTAACAATGAGGGGTCGTTTCAAAGAGGTTAACCTATACTATCCTGTTATCCGGTTATAGTTGTATGCCCTGTGACAGGACTTTTGGTGTGGTCAAACGTGTAGTACTTAAACATGATCGAATTTATTCACCTGGACAGTACAAGGAAATTATATGCAATGTTAAGACAACTCATTCCAAATACATGGTAAGAGATATTAGATATTAATCATGAAGATATTCTAAACTTTAAAAACTGGAGGCCTCAATATTTTAAAAAAACATGTACAAGTACGCCTCCTACTGGATCAACCGTCAAAGTAACTTTAACTATTAGTAAGTACAGACATAGTATCTTCAAACATATCCAGTGTGGTGAATAAAAAACAGTTTTTGTGTCAACAAATTTAAATTGAGTAAGGTTGACAACGTGCCTTTACCTAGTACAACGGCATATATAGGAAGAGTCCCGATAAAAAAGAAAAAGATTGAAGATACTTCAAAAATTTTCCAATACATACCTAAAGACTTTCTTCAATTCTTCGAAGAAAAACTGACATGGCCCACTGCAGAAGGTGACGGTAATGGTGACGAGGAAGATTGATATACAACTCATTCCAAATACATGGTAAGAGATATTAGATATTAATCATGAAGATATTCTAAACTTTAAAAACTGGAGGCCTCAATATTTTAAAAAAACATGTACAAGTACGCCTCCTACTGGATCAACCGTCAAAGTAACTTTAACTATTAGTAAGTACAGACATAGTATCTTCAAACATATCCAGTGTGGTGAATAAAAAACAGTTTTTGTGTCAACAAATTTAAATTGAGTAAGGTTGACAACGTGCCTTTACCTAGTACAACGGCATATATAGGAAGAGTCCCGATAAAAAAGAAAAAGATTGAAGATACTTCAAAAATTTTCCAATACATACCTAAAGACTTTCTTCAATTCTTCGAAGAAAAACTGACATGGCCCACTGCAGAAGGTGACGGTAATGGTGACGAGGAAGATTGATATACGATGCCAAGTTTGAGAGGATAATAATTTTAGTGTAAAAACAAGTTTCTTTTCGATAAAAAATAAAAATTTGTTGAAAAGTTGGTATTTTTATAATACTTCCTTATTTTGAGTTGAAAAAGGATAATATTCCAAATATTAAAACCTCTTTAACTCAGGTAAATGAATTAATAAAAAATTTTTAAATTTATCACTAAAATACTTTTATATAGAACTACAAGTTAATAATAGATCATTTTTCTGTTACACTAAAAATAAAGCTGTAAAATAGTTTTTTTTTTAATTTCCCAAAAGTTAAGATTTTGGAATATTATCCTTTTTCCATTAACCGATTCATATTATTATTTTACATACTACTCCAAAAATTGCCTTATACGAGACAAGTACCTAGTACTACTCTCATCTCATCTTAGAGAATATAAAATAGTCATTTGACAAAAACAGAGATACATGGACAGCCTACTTCGAATAATAGAACCCAACCATCTATCTACGATTGGGAAACTGCCAAATACTTTGTAGACGAAGGCAAAACTAGATGGGCAATATCTAGCTTCTTTCGATTTAAATCGCCAGGACCTGACAGTGGGGTCTGGAAAACTAACACCGCACCTAGTTATATTGAGATCCTCGTTGGCTTTGAAGTGTATTCCTAAAAAATGAAGGGTAATAAAAATGGTCTTCCAACCTAAACCTATACTGTCTAAAAAACATATCGATCAATTATTCTGACATCGTTTTTCATGAAGACATTTTAAAGGCTATGCGAAAGGTACATAAGGGATGTGGTGATTACAATAACACCACTACACCCAAAACACCTAGTTGCTGACAGGACAGAGAGACAATAAGAAGTCCGCCGTGAGTGTTTTCATAAACGTAGAAGGTGTTTTTGATAAGATCACCTTCCCCAAGATAATAAACTTATTGAATAACAGGAAAGTTTCACAGATGGTTAGGGGGTGAATACATAACATGCTCCCAAAACGATTAGTAAACATAAATGTATAATATGAGAATAGAAGAGGCTTGGTTGTGAGAGAATATCCACAGAGAGGAGTACTATTACCTCTACGGTGGAACAGATTCTGCGCTTGAATGCAGGCATTCTCACAGGTCATTGCCAAATACGAAAGCATATGCTGCGAGCATATCCTCTACGATTGCTCGACGCGATGCTCCCACTTATTAGAACATTTGTGTTTTGGCTATGACAGAAGCACGTCTCAGCGACGTTGTCTTAAGTGCCTAAGTGCCGTGGGACAACACCCCCCCCTCCTTCAAACGATGCACATACAGAGAGATAGAACTCGTATTTAGTTATAAATTTCCATCATGTTATACATTTTTGAAATCTATTCATTGAAGATAATCCAAATATAAAATTTGTAGGTAGTCTTGGTGAATGTAAAAAGGTATACAGGTATTCTAGGTAAAAGTATGGATGGTTACGGCAACATACGAACATTATATTACTGAATCATTTTTGTTTTACAAAAACAAATACATCAAAATCAAATTATAGTAGACAATTTTCATATATAAAACAAAGAGTTGTATAGAAACTATTTATAATGAGATAAGCTTAATTAAGATTAATTTGTATAATTATCCACAGTCCTGATACCAAAAGTTGTATTCAATAGAATATATCACGAATTAATAGAATACGACAGATTAGTAATTCACAGTACACAAGTTAAATACATACAATGAGAAGCTTACTATTTGATCTTTATAACATTAAATATGATATACCTATTGTAAAGAATAATTAAACAATAATGAAGTTGATTGGAGAAAAGAAAATAAAGAAAATATTTGAAAAATGTGCATAATAAGAAACCAAAAATTAAATAGCTCTTGGGGAAATGGGCGTGAAAAAAAAATTACTAATTATTACATAATTCTAATGTATCAAGTCAACTACATAATATATGATTATCGTTTATTAATCAGTATAGAAAATAATTACATTGTGATACATTTATGAAAACGCTCTCCCTATGGTACCTTTCCCAAATATACATCTTTGCTTCACCATAATTTACGTTCATTATTAATATAGAATACCACGTTATATATTTAGGTAACCAGAAACTTCCTTGATTCTTAGTAGATACAAGTAAATCACAGAGGAGCTTGGTAATCATAGTCGCTGGAACTCAAAAATTGCTTTGGGTGCCCGGCCTCTATACAGGAAATGGTAGCTCCTTCCCATCCATCCACACAACATTTAGGGTCACCACTGGTTTGTAAAAGCACTTTAAAAGCCATTTTAAAGCGTTGACTTTATGAAAATGTTCTTGAAAAAAAAAAGATATTGTCCAATGTCGAATTGCTGGAATTTTGAGGATTGAAGCGGCAGACGGGAGTATCAACAATCGGTATGCTCGAGGCTCCCGCCTAAATCGGGATATCTAGCCTCTGGCAACCCTATATGCTCGATGCATCCACCACTGGTATTTAGTGGTGCTGCGGTGCTAGAGTATCAATGAAATAAGTAGAAACACAATATAAAACATTTATTAACTATCATGAATTTAGATGATTTTTGATGATTTATTAATATACACGTAATGTATATATACAGGGTGGTCATTTGGAAACGAAACAGAGCCAATTTTGGGTACCTCAGGTCATTTTCGAAAAAACGCACGGACCCGTCAATTTTTGATTTAAGGGGGAAATATTTCTTTACCAGTTTCACCCGCTGAACGGAAACCCTTTAGCGGGAGTGAAACTTTCCCCTAAAATCTTATTTTGAAGGTATTTTTACCTAGACTATAACCCACAAGTTTTAAATCGCTAGTGTCATCAATTATCCGATTTTACAGTGATGTTGGCTTAGTGGCATACATTTTAAGTTTTAAGTGGCCCCATAAAAAAATTTAACGGGGTTAGATCCGAAGACCGTGGAGGCCACTCGATACTTCCTCTTCTTCTGATCCATTGACCTGGAACCGTTTGATCCAAATACTGAAGAACAGTCAGTGCCAAATGGGATGGCGCATTATCTTGCTGGAATATTAAGTTGTTTGCTATATACTGATCGTCATTCTCAATCAACTCTAGTAATGCTGGATGAATGTCGTTTTCTAATAATTCCAGATACATTTCTGCGGTTGGAGTTCCAGGTAAAAAAGAGGCCAATTATACGGTTCCCAAAAATTCCAGTTTAAACATTCAGTTTTTCCGGATGTTGCATATACAGTTCATGAAATATTCTGGAATTTGAATCGGACCAATAATGACAGTTGTGACGATTTACCGTACTATTTTACAATTTAGAAAAAAGTATATTCGTCAGGAAAACATATGTTGAAAAGAAATTGCTGATTATTTATTGCTCGTTCAGTCATAATTTCACAAAATTGTAATCGCCTATCAAAGTCGTCTTAGTTAAGTTCTTGTACCAGATGTATTTTTTAGGGATGATGCATGTGTTTTTTCAATATCTTCTGAATGCTACTTCTCTTAATACCAGATGTTATCGCCAACTGTCTTGTGCTCAATGTAGGTTCTTGATAACATGCCCTAAAATCGCCACCTCTGTACCATTTACAGTTCATCAAATTTCTAGAGGTGTTCGACGCCCAGACAGAGAACGCGCTACGTGTGACTAAGATAGCTATTGTACAGTCTGCTAAACAAGTTATTTTAAATAGTTTTTAATATTTTTAGGTAATTAAATTTTAAAAGTGTGGAATAGTTTAGGGGTTAAATTGGTCTGATTGGACTTTCTTAGAACGTTTTTAAAAGCAGCTAAAGATAGTATGTAGAATTGAAAATAATTATTATGCCATAAAAGGTGTTTTGGAATTCCTTCAACCTTTTGAAATTGAGTCAGAAAATATAAATTTTATAGGATAGCGGAAAATACCTATAATTTTTTTGTAGGCCTTTGTAAATCGTGGAAATAGTTTATATTTTATTTCTACCTTATTAAGGAAAATGGTACATATTATTAATAACGGTTGTTTCTGAAACATTACTAAAATTTTCGAAATTTTGTTTTTCTACAAAATAATAAACTATACTATTTAGAAAAAATTTATTTCTCTTATAATTTTATAAAAAATAACAGGGGAATATTTACATTTCTTGATCTATTAAAAAAAACGATAAATTATCTCGACGAATGACACCATGTTCTAGTACGGAAGCTAGCTTTACATTTTTGTTGGTGGTTTCATGGGTTTCATATCAATTTTTTGTAATTGTAGTTTACACGTACATATATCTCTTGACACTTGTTTGCTTTATTAAAAAAGTGTGTTGTTGTGATTTACGTCGAAATAAGTCAAAAACAACTTGAAACCCCATATAAAATCAAAAAGGAGAAACGGAAAAAAATTGAGCCTGTAAATGAACACAACTCAGAAACAAAAATAGCTATCTAATAATAAAAAAATAAAATTTGATTCTTGTGCAGCTTCATCTATATCATTAACTGTTTTTGGTTTTTTAATGGTTTTTCTTGGTGATGAAAATTCCGATATCTCACGGTTATCGATTCTTTTTTTCTCTCCAGAAATGCGGACGACAGTGTTTTTAGATACTCCTGTGGCTGCAGC